ATTAGTATTGCAGAATATGTCAGCCATTTTGAACGTTAGGAATTATCAAGCTATCTCTTCTCACCGACCAACGCTATAGATTCAATTTCAGGGTAGATTGAGATCTGAACTTGGGGCTACCCAGTCTATGAGAAGGAAAAATCCGAATCACAATCGTAAAGAAAGTGATAAGAAAAAATCCACTGTATTTCCCATGAATGCATAAACAAATATAGCAAGGAATTCTATTGAGAGCTATGAACATTTATATACATAAAATTAATACAATTTATTAAAACAGACGGGTAAAATAGCAAAGATGACTAACCTCTCTAGCTTTGAATGATAACGTTTAAGAAAAGTAACTCTGATTGGTAGACACGGTAAAGGGAATATATTGGATTAACTTTCCCAAGAGTGCAGGACATTTCACAGATAAAATAGAAATCGTAATCTGTGGAGAGTCATGATCGCCTATGTCCAAAAAAGACACATTTCATTAAAAAGAAGATTGGTCAAATAGTAGAGTAGACTGAACACTCTAACATTGGCTAACAAACAGTTTAAGAAAAAAACTCTGAATTCCAAATCGTGGGGAATGCAAAGGATAAAGATTCCACTATATTTCCCAAGAATGCATAGTATTTCACAGAAACTTAAGAAAAGGAATCATGGAGAGACATAAAGGGTCACGTAATAGAGATCGATGAAATTGCATGGTAGACATCGCTCTCTAAATTTGGATGGTACCCTATGTAAAAGAAGTAATTTTTTGAAAATTAAATTGTGCAGAAGGCGAAGAGAAATTACTCAATTATATTTTCGTCTACTTTCTGGCAATTCACAGATGAAGAATAATAATCGGTCGAAAGACATTATCGCTTATCTCCTAAACAAACATTAAATATTTAAAGATAGGATATTTATGACTGATGAGACAATTAAACAAATGATAGGAGTCTAGAGTCTCTGTTCTTAAGAGATAAACATTTTCCAAACCTTTATGAAAGAAAAATCAAAAAATTATTATCATTATTATTATTATTATATTTCCTTTGATTTCTGATGTGTACTCATTTCTTTCCGGGTCCCGCCCAGGGACCTAAGGTTAGAAATGGCAGCATGACATTTTCCACTGGGAGAAAAAAAATGACATAGACAAAGCCCTTCGTAAGGTGTGGGCTGTACTCGTGAGAACATTTTTTTGGTATTTCTTTAAAGCATGGGCTTCCAGGTATCCCTTCAATTAGTCTACTGGAATCTTTTCCGACCAATCCGAGGGCTCCAACTACAACGGGGATTGTTGATGTTCCCATATGCCAAATTCTCATTATTATTATTATTATTATTATTATTATTATTATTATTATTATTATTATTATTAACTTAACTCTTGCCGTATATTTCAAAACATAGAGGAAAGAGCGATTAAAAAAAAAGAAATAGAAGACATTGTTTGACAATGTTCATCAATATTTCGACAATATGTAAAAAATGTATTCTTTTCTTTATTTTTCTGTGTCGCATCCTTTCATGACTTGGGCGATCATAACTTTCCATCTCCCTCTGCATCCTCCCCCAGACCACGTTCTGTCATCCACATGCTTAAGCTCGTCAGATATGTCACAAGTATAAAAATATGCAAAAAATCTACAAAAAATAATGTCTTTATCGCTTATCTAGAGAAAAAGCATTTTACTAGCAATCAACGCATCAAAACTAAAGAAACACAGCCAGTGTGAATTGCACGCAACCGAAACCTATTTAATATGATGGTCACCGTGCTCATCTTGGAATTTTCTTCAAATTTCACCTGTGTATTATTATTATTGTTTTTATTCCTTTGATTTCTGGCGTGTACATATTTCTTTCCGGGTCCCGCCCAGAGGCTAAAGTTAGAAATGGCGTCATGCCAATTTCTACTGACAAAAAAAAAATAAAAATAAAAAAAAATTTGCATAGATAAAGCTCTTCGTAAAGTCTGGGCGATACTTGTCAGAATTTTTTTTTGTCTTCCTTTGAGGCATGGTCTTCCAGGAATCCCTTCAATTAGTCTACTGGAATTTTTTCCAACCAATCCGAGAGCTCCACCTACAACAGGGATTGTTGATGTTCCCATGTTCCACATTTTTGAGATTTTGATTTCGATTTCTTCTTCTCATTATTATTATTATTATTATTATTATTATTATTATTTAATAATGTTATGTAAATTAATTATGAATTCTGAAATTCATAAAGGTTTCTGATGGACATAGTGTTAGCTCAGCTTCTATCCTCAGCTCCAAGCAGCGCTGCCACAATCGTACTCCCCATGACGTCATTTATCTCCAAGGTTTCTTGCGCGACATAGTGATTTTTGGAGAGAATCCCTAGTGTATATAACACAAAATGGGCTAAATTGTGTTGATGATTGGTACACTTTTCAGCTTTGACATGCCAGACCTTGGTACTGCTATATTTTACCTAATCATTATTATTAATATTATTATTATTATTATTATTTTGATAATTCATATCTTTTTTATGAAAAAATCGTTTTCGATTCAAGTAAAAAAATTAGCACGTTTTCGGGAAAGATTTACACAGGCGATATCTTATGAGCTGATAGTGTTGGTATTTGGTACATTTTCTAAAATTCCTTCAAATGAAGTCTATTCGTCGGAAGCCAAAGTATGCATTGCAGAAAGCATTTCACCGCACAACGTCGGTTTTGATTAAAACTTCTACAGGTGCGTGCCCTAACCAATTTCAATTACCTTCTTCCTCACCCCCTATTCTCATATTGGCAGAATTTCTTTTCCCGCACTGGCGTTCAAGTGTTAAGCAGGGGGTCTCCTAACAAGATCACGTCAGCTTGCTCTGTTTATTGTGTGAAGGGTCAAAAAACTTGGCCATTGATTTCAGGGGAAAAAAGCAATCGGAGGTCAAATAAACAACCAAACCAAAAACGAAAAAATGAAAAACAACAAATAATAAAAGAAATCAAATTGTTTTCTTTGTTGGCTAACGTAGCACAAAATAGCTCTATTGACCAACACTACAAAGACAGAGTTCGCTCCCTTGCTGCGAATTGAAAGTGATTTTCAGATCTGGCATTCAGAGCCAGTATGGCAAATGACTATTATCCATTATCTCAGCAGATAGCGTCATTTTTTTTTTAGTTTCCGCGTATGGAAATAAAAGTGTGCTTACATACATATATAGATATATATTCATAACCAGTAAGATAGGCAGGAAAGAAACCGATTTTGAGAAAACCGGTAAGTCTGATTTTTTTTTTTTTTTTTGCTTTTAATCACTTCACACCGAACAAGGCGATAATGCCACTAAGACGCAAGGGGTTACAGGGAGTGAAAGGAAATGAGAAGATTTTAGTGAAGAGAAGTGAGGAAAACTGACAACAAATGAACAAGATTAAAGGAGACAGGATGCGACGAATATTATAGCATTTAAATTGTTGAATATTATAAGGTGAGAGGGAAGCAAGAAAATAGTAGGATATTCGACAGTCGAAAAGTGCGAAAAAGAAAACTGTTATATACAGAAGAGTCAGGTGAGTTTGCTCGTTCTACAGTAAATCATTTAGATCTAGTAGCACACTTAAGTTCGTGCAGTCGAATATATATATTAATCAAGCAAAATAATACAGGCGCTAAGATGGAAAGGGTTATTGAGTGTGAGAAAATATGAAAAAGGAAACATTATTTAAAAGAAAACCCAATGAATGAATAGAAATTAAAAAAATAGAAGATAACAATTGATATTGTAGTTAAATGTTTGATGATCAAATTTGACTGGAATGTCATAACGTTGAAGAGAATTCCACAAGTGAGAAATGTGTGAGAATAAACAGCTAGCATAGAACTTACGATTGCCTTTAGCCATTTCAACTGTAAAACGATGAGATCTCGCCGCCAATCTGTTTGATTCACAAAGTTTAAGTATCAAAGGGGAAAGCAATATTTATTTAGTAAAAATAGAAAAATGTAGCACAAGGCCAAAAAAGGATGAGATAGTTTTGATCTTTTGTCATATAATTAAACTACGCTAGCCGCAATTACTGACATAAATATACCAAAGTATTCCTTTCACAAACAATAGATTTTTACATTCTATTCTTGCAGCATCCGCCATAGCACCTCAAGTCTCTATGAAGTTTTATCTAATATGTATATGTATAATTTTTTCTTGTGGAGGGAGTAAAAGAAACAATTTAAACAAATCTAACTGCAATGTGTCAAAACAATTAAAATGAAAATATTTATAGAAAAGGCAGAGGGAAGATATTTTAGAGGAAGGTCAGAAGGCACCTGCCAGGTTTCAATCTTTGGACAAATAGTTAAATAGGGTCGGAACACTGTGAAAGTATAAATTATTTTTTAATACCAGCAATACATTTTGGAAAGATTTTATCGGAAATATATTTCGGAAAAAAATAATACATTTGTGAAAATAATATTACCAACAATACGTTTTTGAAAAAATAATATTACCAGCAATAAAAAATTTTGTCGGCATTAAATAACCCATTGAGGTTGATATGCCGTAAAACAAAGCAAAGCAAACAAAATCAAACCTTTCTATGCTCGTAGTATTGGATAGTGACTTGAGATCACGTGCTTCTCTATTCAACGGCCAGAATTATCCATATATAATATAAACAATGTTGCATCTGGCTACGTCTGTGATGTCTATTCATAGAGCATAATACAAGTTACGGTGTTTGCAGCATTGTAGTCTTAAGTCAGTTACATATTCCTAAATACCATTTTCTTACGGAATTTAGTTCTATTACTAATATGTAGCCCATTACTAAGTCTTCGTTCTAGGCATGGTAAATGTTATAAAACAATCATAATATCATGGATCGCAGTGCAAGGTTTTAGCAAGCTTCTGTTGAGTCTTCAATATTTGCCAGTCTTCTTGGATCGAAAAACTGCGTTAAGATTGCTAAATAGATATATGCGAATGTTTAGTGAAATATTAATGTGTAGAGAAGATTGGCAAATTGTACTTACGACTGCAGAGTGTTTTCGCGAAGATATGTGGTCCCGGTGGCCCTCTGCCACCATCGCCGTCTCGTTTGGTTACAATGTAAATTTCGTATTCCGTGCTAGGCCGAAGCTCAGGAATGTTGAAAGAACATACGCGCTTCCCGCGGCAAAATGTGTGATACACATAACCCATCATTCTGCAAAGAAAAATATTTACATCGATTCAAGAGAAATTATTGAAATATGCGAAGATTATGAAAGGAATCCTCCGAAGCAGTTCGTCTTACCAGAAAATCTGAGCCTTTACATGCTAAAAGGTTCAACGTTATCAAAAAGAAATGCGTGTGCCTGTCGGGTTTTTGAAAAATCACTCGCGCAAATTTATTCATATCTTTAACATATATAAGAATAAAGTTTAAAGTTTACATTTTTAGGTTATAGTGGCCTCTCGAGGCGGTGTTATGGTTAGTGAGCTTGTCTCTCTGGAACATTTACGATTGAATAGTGAGTTCGATCCTCATTGGGTGCCCCATACGTTCGGCCTTATGCCACATCTAATCTACGCTTAGAAAATCACTATATTTATAGGTAAAAGTTCTCGATATCAAGTATAGAGCGTGTGTAAATATAAAAGTGTAAGAATATTATATTCGACTATTAAATTGACTTTCACTAATCAATGTTGACATCAGTATCCTCTCACTTTATATATATATATATATATATATATATATATATATTACACAAATACATGCTTATTCAGACGTCTTACGTTACACCTATCTGATCACAGCTCCATTCGAACCCATTTAAACACACCCACAAATTTACCAGACTCTATTAGAAATATACTAGTAGAAAACACAAATATATTACCTGCATCCACCTGCAAAAAAGACTAAAAATAATGGAAGCTTTAATAATAAAAAAGAAAAAGCCAACTTTTAACAATATTAACTACGAACAAGGCCACAATGTGCTAACCGTATTCGGAAATTAAAAACATCCATACCACACACTAAGACATACACATAACACACACACTCAGTTAAGCTGAAAAATCGAATCATCCTTGATAATAGCTAAAGGTATAGCCGAAAACATTTGAACAGTTCTTAAACACCCTTTGTCCAGAAAAGAAAGTTCTTGTTTGAACACAAGAAAAAAATAAATAAAAAGCTTAACCGTAGTACCTTGTCTGTCGTTTTTAGGGAATATGCACACACACACACACACACACACACATATATATATATATATATATATGTGGCCTGACGATTGCATATAGCATGAAACAGACTGTCGCCTCTAAGTGTTGACTTCTATGTTCACTTTATATATATATATATATATATATATATGTATATATATATATATATATATATATATATGAGCCGTCCTAAATTATTTTGCAAATCATATAATCATATAAGCCTGAATTATTCGAACTTGCTTTGATATGATTTTGTCGAATTTTAAACGCTTAATTCAAATGTCAACAAACTGACTTATATTTGTAGGTTGTTTCAATATGTTTGTTAAACTTATTGGATTTATTATATAAAAAAAACAACAACAGTCTGAAGTTCTCTAATTTTTTTCTTCTTTCCTTTTGTTCAATGAAAAGTATCTAACAAATGGTGAAAAACAGAAAATAACATTCATTGAATGAGGGAATATTCACATTGGAGATATCAAGGGAACTTCGAAGAGATTCAACAATGAAGAATGTTGTTAAAACATAACTAAACTGAAAATGAGAAGGAAAGGAAAGGGGTTTAAGAAATTGTCTCCTCAAAGGTAACGTAAACTAAAGCGAGTCATAGTGAAATAACCACTTTTTACCAGTGCTTAAATCTCTGAGCAAGCTGGAATTGAAGGAGTCATGAAGTCGAAAAATTGTAAAATACTTCTCAAATTTGTATATGGAAAGAAATCTCAAGACAACCACTGTAATTTTGTCTGGGCCAGTTGCTTTCTTAGGATCAAGGACTTTGATAAGTCTTGAGACTTCTCGTGCTGTAATGGTAATATTACTGAAATTGTGTTTAGTGGGATGTTAGGAGAGCAATGACTTTGCCGTCTAACGTTGAGTTTGAGGCAACTATTGAAACGAAAATATCTACCATGTCAGTCTAGAAAGATATGAAATAGAGGCTATTTATAATTGTGGGCGCAGCCGCTTTACCTCTGTTTATGATTTGTTTGGTATCATCCAGGTTGTACGGGACCCAATTTTTGTCTTCTCAACCTTGGCTTTGGCTACTTGGTGTTTTCTAGAACATTTTCCAAGCGATTACGAACAGTTCTGAATGAAGTGTCAAATTACACCGCTCCTCTCGATAAATATGGAAGAAGTTGTTTCGTTTATTTATGACTGCAGAACATTCATGGGTGAATCAGGGCAGAGAGTTTGTTTTTTGATTGATATTTTGGTGGATATAAAAATCTCCTTCCCAGAAAGGATCCTGTCATTTACAGAGGGTTCAAGAAATACATGAAAATTAACTTTTCTAATGTAATTTACTTGCATGAATCTTAGGTAATAATCGGTGGACCTGATGATGAGCCAATAGATGGATTTCATATAATGCAGATATTATTCTGATTAAAAGAAATCAGTAAGGGTGCGGCAATTAGATCGTATATAGAATGGAATGGCCGAAAAAATCATCAATCGAGGAAGGAGATATAGTGGAATACTACAAGTTCTAACCTCGCAGTTTCAAAGTGAACAGTGTATTTATGTACAGGTATGCTCCTTTTCATATATCTAAGATTACCCGTGAATATTTCGAACATAAATGTTACAGCAGAAAACATAATAAAATGGCACCCATCAAAACCTGATCTGAATCCGATCGAAAATTTATGGTCGATTGTGAATATATTATATGAAGTTTGCAAACACTATGACAGTAAAGCAAGCCTATAGAAGCAATTAAATCTACCCTGTTGGAATTTGAACCGGAATAAGTAAATGATTTAACAAAATCAGTAGATAATAAACCGCTGACTATTATTGAGCAGAAGGATCATTATATTAAGATGTAAATGTTTTAAAGACTTATCCTATATGTTTGTTATTAGATCTATTATAGGTGTTAATTGTTATTGAATTTATTCATTGATATTGAAGTAAAAAAGTGATCTGCTGGTTTTACATAACAGCATAACTGCAGTTTTATAATAAATTCAATAAATTAAATAAAACATTGAAACTACGTAAAAAAAATTGACACCAACTTTCGGCGATCATGATTCCGTAAAGATGTCAATTACAATCATATGAACATAACAATAGACAAAAATGTAAAATAAATTAAGAATTATCATAAAACAAAATTATAATGATATTATTCAATCTTTAAAATCATTTATTTTAATAAGAGTAGAAAACGATGGCCGTAATGAAATTATAGATTTACAATTCATAGTGTTTGATTACCAAACAATCTGTGCATATTGTGCGTGAGTAGAAGCCTTTTACCACACTTTCAACACAATTTTAGAGGAGCGTATTAGGAATGAAGGCGTATTATACATGGGGAATTACGTTATTCATTATTTTCTTCCTCAATGTAGGTCCGAGTTCTCGAAAAAAGAACGAGATATAGCAAATGCCATATCTTTTAAGAAATAGCATTAAATAACCCGTCACAATAATCACTTGACATACGGTAAATTCATGTTAGTTGATACAGAAGCAATAAGAATGCTAAAAGAAAGATATTTCCTTTTCATTGCAGGTGGAAATCACTTTACAGTATAAGAAGACATTTCTGGAAAAAAAAACAAAAAAAAAACACTTGCATTCAACTATTTATTCAAGTAATTTCTATTTCATATCAATAATTCTGCACTTACTGAAATTTAGAGATGACACAACTTGATCATGCTACGGAATTACTATAGTAATATCTTCATCCTGGTTCATTTACTCTGTAATTCAGCCTATATACATTTCAGCCTGTTTTGAACATTTAAGAATGAATCATTTTAATTATTACGCAAGATATTTCGAATAGTATTTCCGTATTGCTTTTTTTTATTACTGCATATCATCCGATGATTATACTTGACGCCATGTGTTTTATCCATTCAGGAAGTAGGGGATCATGGCTTTCCACAACTTCCTTTAACTCTATGCAACATTTTACTCTCTACCGTCGCTATTTTTCCCGCACTGACATCCATTTATATATTGAATGGACACGGCACAAAGAAAAAAATAATAATGTGCAAACTATTCAAACTATTGTGTAGAACATGGTATACTGTGCAATGCTTAATATTTACACCAAACAAAAAACAAATCCATTTTCTTTACCTGAAATTCTTTTCGAGGGATGTCTTCACCCAAATGCTGTACCATAAAATTGGGGGATCCCCCGTATCACCGTTTCGAGGATTCCAAGGTGGCCATTCGATTGTCATGTTTATGGCGCCAATCAATTCTGGCGGAACCCGAGGTTTTGAATTCAGCCTTGGAGTTTCTGAAAAAAGTAAAACAAAGAAGAATTAACTTTACCTAAACAAACATTAATAGTCAAGAAACAAAATATACATAAAAAGATAGATACCTAAAAAGAGATACCTTTAAAAGGAAAATAAAATCTTTCATGGAGCACTTTTTTAATTGTAATTCCAAGCTAATAGATTAAATGTAATATTTCCAATAAGCAAAATATTTATGTGGTAAATGGTTTTTCTAGTCGTATATGTTATATTATTGTTGCGTCCTAGTGTTTTTAGTTTAGTTGTTTGCCTCAATTGGCGTTGTAGAGTGTTTGTAGAAGGCGTAAGAAAAATATATTTCAAAAATAAAAAAAAAATCATTCCAATTAATTTAAATTCGTTTGAAATACACAAAAGGAACACTGTCATATAACATTAAGCAAATTAAACCATTTGGAGAGTAACGAAAGAGAATTTTAATTGAGACATCACACGTATCGTCAAAAAATACTAATTTATACTCATACTGAAACCAGAATCGGCAATTTGACATGGTGTAATGGTTAGCAAGCTTATCTCGCTAGATCGATTACGATGGAGTAGTGAGATCGATCCTCTTTAGGTATCCATACTTTCGATCTTGTATCTGAACTAAGTAACGCTTAGTAAATCACCATACTGGAACCAAAATTCATCACTGCAGATAATGGCAATTGTCTTTCCGTAGACATCAGTTGTTTTCTTTTAGCAATAAATGCAAATTATACCAACTTTTCAAATTGATACAAGCACTGGTAACCAGGATATGACATGCATTTGCTTCTTCTCACTTTGTAGGAAAGAAATTGTTCTAGTAAAAACTTCCCCCACCCCGCGCTCAATATTATAATGAAGAAAATGTAGCAAGACCATGCATTGTAATTACTATAAGTTATATTTTAGTGAAAACATTTGTTTCTGTTGGCATATCCGTTATATCTTTTAAACAGTGAACTTATTTCACCCTGGTCTAGTCAGAGAATATGATAAAAGTCTCATTTCTTCTTTTTTATTTTTCTTTGAGAAAGACACAGAAGTATCTGGAAATTCTGCTAACCATTTCATCACACACAGACACACCCACTATACGCCTTATATATTGGGTGCAATGGGTAATTTTCCCCACTTTATATATTTTTATTTATTTCACGCATGCGTATTTTTTTGTTTTTGATTTAGTCGAATGCCGTGTATAGTAGGGTCAGTTGGGCACTGTGTGAAAAAAAAGAGCACTATAACGCAATTCACTCGGAAAGAAATTTGGGAACGGCATCCTGTAATGTTGAGCATTCGCGTCGGATATACGACAGAGTTTTATACAAATTACAACATCTTTTCACGAGAAAAGGAAGAACAGAGTAAGAAATAATGACACAGGATATACTCTTATTTCCCGAGAATAAGGAAAAGTAGTAAGAAAGAAGAGGGGGGGAGATAGCAGTAAGATTTGTTTTGTTTGATTGCATTTGTGTTGAGTTTTTTTTACATGTTTTTTTATGTAATTTCCAAAAAAAAGAATATTTCTCTATTTTTAAATTGAATGTTACGAACGTTTGAATTGGATTCTATTTGTTCTCGTTTCATATATATATATATATATATATATATATATATATATATATAACAAACCAGATGGATATGCATACATACATACATACATATATATATATATATATATATATATATATATATATATATATATATGTATGCATATCCATCTGGTTTATGTTAACAATGTATAGTGTTCAATTTCGGTGAAAATCATTTGTCGATATATTTCATTATGTCCACAATTGATTCGCTATTATCTCATATAAAGGACAAGAAAATATTAGACCAATTCAAATTTAGTTTTAATGTATGCTACACTTTTGGGTAAATGCGGTGAATAACAAAGATATGGTGTATATAAATATGAACTTTGACAGTGAGATGAGTACCTAACTAAATTGTACAGAGCTTAAAACTACACCCGATAAAAAAGTTATTAAGGAATTCATATAAACTTCAGTAATTCAAATTTCGTTTGAAAAAAAATGTCAATTATTAAAGAGTTAACTTAGATGTCAAAACAAGACCTGGAATAAAAAAAAAATTAGGTATTATTAATGTTTTATTGAAATTTTTGAAGTTATTAAATGTATTAAAAACCTCCGTCTGAAGTTATTATCCAACACCAACTAATCACATTTTACTTCAATAAAAAGCAATAAAATGATCAAAAATTGAACAATACCTATAATAGCACAAATACTATACATTTATAAGTCTTTGACTCCTTTACATATTAATACAGTGAACCTTCTTCTCAATAACAGCCAGTAACCTATTATCCATTGATTTGTAACTTTTTTTTACATCAACAAGTTCAATTTCCGATATTGTCATTTTAATTGGTTGCAATACGTCTAATTTGCTGTTATATTGTTTGCAAAATTCATATAAATTTATCTTCCCAATTGACCATGGATTTTCGATTGGATTCACGTTCAAAGAATTCGTGATTTTGCTTAGGTAGATGAGAAGGAGCAGTCTCGTGTATAAATACATATTTAACATTGAAACTGCGTGACTGGCAAATGTACCAGACAAAGAAATTCTTGTTCATAAAATTGCTTCATCGACTTTGGAAAGACCAGTAATTGTTTGGTCGACAATTCCAGTCCATATCATAATATTACCATCTTCTTAGTGCATTCTTTTAGCTACAGATAGGTCTGAATTGGATAAAGTCCATCCTTTGGACCATCCATCAGGTTCATCAAATGACACTCGAGATTCGTCCGTGAAAATTACTTTAGAAAAATCATTTTTTCTGTACTTCTTGGGCCCATTTTTACACATTAGTGAGAGGAGGTTGCCTAGGATATGTTGTTACAGATCCCAATTCACAAAGTATTCTGCACCTTTTGTCCTTAACTCTTTCAATTCCAGTCTTTTCAAAGACATGAGCGCTGGCTAAAATTGGTTATCTCGCTATAACTCTCAATAGTTTACGTTCATTTCGAGGAAGCAAGTTTTTAAAGCATTTTCCTTTGCTTTGAATTATCAATTTACATATATTTTCAACAGCCTTCTTTATCGTTCGATGATCTTAGGAAAACTGATGTTTCCAATATGGAATTTCTCTCACACAAAAACATTGTTATTTTCTGTTTTTGAGCAGTTGTTATATATATATATATATATATATATATATATATATATATATATATATATATATAATGTTATATATATTAATTGAATTTAAATAGAAAACAGACAAACTGAAGGGTCTGTTTTCTATTTTGCATCCTCCTTGGGATTATCCATACGGATTGCCAATTTTTCTTTACTAACGATATATATATATATATATATATATATATATATATATATATATATATGCCCCGGAAAATTTATTTCCGGTCGTGCAATCTAGAGAGAAAGCGCGAATTTTTAAGCAATGACTACTACTGCAAAGTCTGCCTCGTCCGTCATGTATAGAAAGATACATGATAGCCTAAGCGTGTATCACGCATGCCACATAACTGACTGATTACTAGTTGCGGCTCGGATTTAGGAATCAGAGAGCCGAGTTCGAATTCCAGTCGAATCCATTACATTAATTTACCTGCTAATACCCATGGTGTGTTTATTCTATTAATAATTATGTAAAAATCCACCTTCTTCTCTACTTGACGCTGAGGGGTAAAATCTCTGACTGATGCCAAATTTGCCGGGTTTCGATCCCGGCTTGAGGCAATCTAGCTACACTGATTAGCTGTGATACAGCGAAACAGTCTCTCTGTGGTTTACAATATATATATATATATATATATATATATATATATATAAATATACAAATAAAGAGAAAGAATAAAACAGATTTAGAAGCCACAGTTCTCTGGCATTTACATTTTTAAAAGTGCTCAATAAAAACGTAAAGCATATTTTTTATTTTATTATAAAAAAAAACAAAAAAAAACTATTGTTACAGATATACATATATTTCTTCCTAACTTAAAAGTATACACTTAACCGGGGGTATGCTGCCGAGTGTTAATGTGACAGATCCCCGAAACATGTATGTATACCGCCAACACCTAACATTTAACTTTTCTGATTTAGGTTTGACATTACTTTTGGTTTGGTATACACAAAATATTTAGCTTTGACATTTTTTCTTTTGACTAGACAAACACATATGTTTCACAAATTTGTATCACTCTCCATCTTTACTCATTAATAAGCAAACATATAGATTTCTATTTTGAAATGTAAATCATTTCCGTCAAAAAGTTACCAAAGATTGCCGGGTGACAAGATAAAAAATTTAAATCTCGAAACATAGAAATATACGTGTAGCAATGTAAAATATTTTGAATAAAAATATCATTCAAATATATATCAAATGTGTGTATATGAATATATATATATATATATATATATATATATATATATATATATATATATATATATATATATATATATATATGTAAAAGTGTGTATCTATATATATATATGAATATATGTGAAAAGTGTGTGTATATAAATATATATATATATATATATATATATATATAAATATATATATATATATTCATATATGTGAAAAAGTATGTAAATAAATATATATATATATATATATAATATATATATATATATATGAATATATATATATATATGAATATATATGAAAAGTGTGTATATAAATATATATATATATATATGAATATATGTGAAAAGTATGTGTATATAAATATATATATATATATAAATATATATATATATATATATATATATATATATATATATATATATATATATATATATATATATATGAAAAGTATATATATATATATATTTATATATATATATGAATATATATATATATGAATATATATATATATGAATATATGTGAAAAGTGTGTGTATATAAATATATATATATATATAAATAAATATATATATATATATATATATATATATATATATATATATGAATATATATATATAT